CCTCTGGCTAGCTAACTAGGCTGCACAGTGTTCCAAAATACCTTTGTCGACTTGACTTTACGTACGGCCGATACACTTTGCTTCACACGAGCAATTAAATTGATAAATACACAGTGAAGTGGCCAAAAGCAGTATCTTATCTTTAATGTTAGACCGGATCGCCTGTCTGCTGGAGACTGTGATACGTAAGGTAGCCAGCTCCTTGCTATGTGTAAGCGCAATATCGCGTAGATAAAGGCTATCCCGGTCCAGAACAAACAAGAAGCCGGTCAATGTTTCTACGGTACTATTAATAAACAAATCAATAATTATATATACACAAACTTTAACGGTTTCAAGAGTACAAAGCACAACGCTTAACAGAAAGCAGAGTACCGCTATCAGAGTGGAATAACGTTAAAGCCAAAAACCAGACACAGCCGTTCAGGTAAGCAGTTAGTAGAGAAATGAACCCAAGTAAGGCAGGGCATAAAACAGAGAGCGGCTAACAGATAGACAGAGCATAGGCACAAAGATAGAATTCAATTGGCTAATTAACCAGGTAGGCTGATACAGATGAAGATCAATAAATAAGATAAACTCTACAGAATAGTACAAAGTAAGACATGGGTCAGCAAAAATAACAGTTCACAAAAATACTCTGATTAGGTCATGAGTTCAACTGTCTGACTAAACGGATCGAGGTAAAAACACATACACACAGTTCATTAAACAAGGGGGGATAGACACGTTAGGCATGAATAATTGGGTTGCAACAACGCTAGGCTGATCCGCGACAGTTTGACTTGATTCAAGGATGGAAATTGAATTGGCCTTACAATATGTTTTTTTTTATTTACAGCTTGATTCCACACTGTATTTTTGGTACAAGTATGGAATTTTCAGCATGGATATCGGTAGCCCAAATTTCGCAGGCCGATCATAGATATCAGGTGTGCGTCGGCGTGGGCTCGAACCCCGGACCATGTGCATGGTCGGCGAGAGTCCTAACCACTGTGCCACAGACGCATTTAGAATGGCGGTCACCAAGACTTTCTGGTTCGATGTTACCTTTGAATTCCAGGCGCATGAAGAGTTTTCTTAGGAAAAGTTTCGGTTTTACCTGAAGAAGACATTTTATTCTCACTATTAACAAACGAAGTAGCTCCATTTTCTAAAGAGTTTATGTATTGTACAAACATCTTCAGCATAGTTTCTAGTATTATAATATGAGTTGAGTGCATGTGGTTAGGAGTATTTAATTTTCCATCTACACCTCTAACTCTTGCAGATAGCGAAATCATGGCGACAGAAATTATCATCTGGTTCCTAATTTTAAAAAAAATGAAATTTGACCGCTGCATATATGGAAGACAGCAAACATTGGAATAATCCGACCATTCCAGATATCGAAACTGCATTACGTCTCTATCAATTTCATTCCCAAAGTGATTAACACGTTTATTCTTTAGCCCAATGCCAAGGAGAGATACACACGGGAAATTTTCAGGCTTATGGTGTAGTAGTCACTGTGTTTCTACCACCAGTGAATCCCAAGTTTGAAAGAGAATTCCTTCACCTCATATTCGAAATAAGCCCCTCAAACATGCCCAGATAATTTGACAAACTGATTCTCCATATTTCAGGTTACTGAGATGTCTCACAATCATTCATGTGTTGTGGTGGAATCGACTCCCTCATAGCTTCCACATGCGCTGACTCAACCATTGTCTAGCAGAAGATCATCAATACACGCATATTACAAGGACACTACTCCTATACGTATACCATCATCGATATGCTAAAATTTCGAACTCCAGTGTGAATCTCTTCGACACCACACAGTATCCGAATGTTGACAGTTGTATCCAATGACTGGCTCACGACAGAGAAAAAACAAGTAGGGTGATTGCCATACAGATAATGATTAACTTGAACTGGCGGAGTATGGAGCACATCATGGTATGTGGCTAGGCAATAGTCGTAGTTGATTTGAGAAGGAAGAATTTACGAAAAGTATATATAATTCCTGAAATCGATGTGTGGGTAACGACAAAACACAACACAGATCCCACATACACGTAAAGACGGTAAACATTTCATGATGACGACGCAAACAATCACCAAGTGATCAAAAACGTATTTTCACCGAGTAATAGAGAGTACTGGGATGCTCAGTGAAATTCACTGCATACGACAACTCACATAATCCAATCAACAAGTGTCCATGAAAGTAACACAAGAGAGGGTAAGAAGAAAGAAAACACAACACAATTGTTTGATGTGAAGAGTTTATTCAGTAATCAGTTAACAGTAAGATAATCGTCAGCAACGAATAGCTTACAATTGACTGCATGTCATCAGTGCATGCATGCATGCATGCATTAACCTCAGAATATCTTCCTTCACTCAGAGTTACTTCATACCTGAAAAGCAGAAATCAGAAAACATGAAAGTATTACAAGCAGGCTAATGCAGAAGGCTAATTGTAGACAGTGAGGTGGATGGTATATCGAATGTGGAACCGATTGTGCAGAATGTGACTAAATGACTGGTGGATTGACTAAGACAACTATTTGTTCATTCACGAGGGCATAATCATCCTTTGATGATAGAATCACTACCAGGTGCATGATCAGACACCTACCAGCCAAATGAACCGGATTACAATACCTATTTCATTCAATACACAGTTCACTCCCTGATCAGCAGCTAACGAGATTGGAAAGGCAAGTGAGATGAGCTGAATTTAACCGAGTACAGAGGATATGAGAGCACACAGAGAATAATATCTTGAGCTGTGCATGAGGGCCCATAATTCCTAAGTCGTCTCAATTCCGAATGGCCTGTATCACATATAATTATTTTTTTTATTTTTAATTACAGCTTGATTCCACACCGTATTTTATGGTACATGTATGGAATCTTCACCATGTGAAATCGGTATCCTGAATTTTGCAGGCCGTCCATATATATCAGGTGTTCATCAGCAGAGGATCGAATAGACAACTATTCAAAATGAAACTCAAACACTCGAATCCACTTAAAATTCAGTTGACAGGAGGACAGTAAATCTAAGAATATGTGGACACAGATTCCTTCCGCTGCTGCTGCATAACAGATAACAAACTACAGTGAAAAGATTGAAGTCAATAAGAGAGACGATGCGTGAGAGAGTGAAAGAGTAAGCGGATGTGTAGCTAAATGGTTCATTGGGACAATTAGCTAGTGAGTGCATATCCGTATATGTATATCTGAATGTACGTAAGTAGACTCACCATATCGAGATCTCCAGTCTCTTCTAGGCTTTCCTGCATTCGGTGCACCTACACATAGATAGAGAGAGAAAGGGAGGTGGATTCATTCTGGTGAGCGACGAGAATCCGAATGAAATGAATACGTATATCCGAGAGTTTGGTAGTGGTAATTTGGTGCGGGTAATTTGATCAACAATGTGTGGAAGAGTGAGGAGTAAGCAAGCAGAAGTGCACAAGACTACAAGTGCTCAATTCAAATGTGTACTCATGTAATTGTGGATAAAGTAAAGTGCATATAATATCAGTGCAAAAGTTATGAAGGTGGGGACGAGAAGGAGAGGAGATGTGAAATGGAAACACACTTGGAATGAGCATGTGATGTGATCGAGATGAATCAGTGGATTAGAATAGCAGTCAGTCTGTGTAAAAATAAACAGGATGGATTAGGTGACATGTTGATTAGTAGAAGAACTGTGAGTGATTAGTACGTTGACTTACGGTAACGATCTGAAAACAGTGAGAGACAAACAGAGAGAGAGATAGACAGAAATAGAGGAGCATTAAATTAGATACACACATAACGAAGTGAAACAACATGATTCAAGTGGAATAACTGCGTGGAATATTGTGTAGGGAGGGACAAGCGCATGGCCGTATGTGTGATTGTGAGTGTGGAAATCTAATTTGTGAGCGTGTAGGATTTTGCATTCAACTAGTCGAGTCGCCTATTAGAAGAGTGAAGAAGTAGTAGTAGCTCACGTGGTGGAGGCGGAGATCGAGATTGATTTCCATGCAGCGGAGGAAGAGGAGGAGGAGCACAGACTCTGAAGTTGTGAGTAGGATTGAGTGAGGCGTTTGAGATCATTGAGTATTTAAGTGGGAACAGACATCAGTATTGTAGAAACATTATCCCTTATCAATATTAGAACAAGAATTATGCACGTGAAATGTGTGATAATGAATATTATTACGGCGAGCGGTAAATCGACTTACGATATGGCTTCGACGGTGATTTACTTCCAGCTGATGGCTTCTTCACTGGTGCACTTGGTGGTTTGGCGGGGCGGCTGGGGCTGCAGCCTTCTTGGAAGAAGCGTCCTTCTTACCTATGGGATGCAAAAGGATAATATCACAACCCATGGTCATTGCTATGTGTAAACGACAGTTCGATTCAACCAGCAATAAATAACAATCTCGATTTAAACGTGTCGCACTACTCAAACACACGTCCGCCTCCTACTCGCTCTCATATGATTTACCAAGTGTTCACGTAAAAGTAGATCACTGACTCCCTCAACAACAAACAGGAATCATGTTTCTGTTTGCTGAACAATGTGATTCGTTTACAAAGAACTGGCAATCTCGTCATCTCAGCGTGAAATCATCTCGAAACTCACCTTCTTCATATACGCATGATTCTCAGTACCTGCATTCGAAAAGATGTCAAAAGAGTCGGAGAAATCTCATTCATCTGTCAAAAGGGAAATCGATGAACACGCTGTATGCATAGGTGATGTAAAAACAAACGCCTCGGAGGAAAGGACATCAAGATTCCTTTCAACTGCGTGATAATCAGTGCGGAGTGGTTCCGAAACAAACCGTCCATCACAAATTTACCAGTCGATCAATTGATAGAAAGATGACGGGATTACTAGAAATACCAGACGTTCTGTAGTGAAAATTGCAGCCATACACGCAAAGATAGTGTTGTCTACATACAGCATAATTGGAATAATGAAATTTGTGCACTAACGATGAACTCACCAGCGGGGGCTGCTGGAGCAGCGGCAGGAGCGGCAGCAGCAGCACCAGCTTTAGCTGCGTCTGCTCCACCACTGGGTGCGGCGGCGGCGGCAGCGTCACCTGAATGGAAACAAAAGGAGTGTAGATGAGGAGATTAATCAGCCAACCAGTTGATGAATAGTTATCAGATTCTGTTGAGAAAGGAAAGTCATCAGACAGCTGAATACAGGCTGGAATAGCGAGTTTTGAGTGCATGAGATGACACTGTGCAGTTGGGAGTGAGTGAGTCGATGGAGAGGAAATGATGAAGACACAGGAAGGGACAGAGACAGATTGAGAGGAGAGCTGGACATCAGTATCAGTTGTCCCCAGACATCATTATCTTAACATGTTTGACAGCGTATGCAGGCTACCTTCTGGAGAATGAGTGATTGGCTGACTGGCGGGTGTATGCTTCGATGTATGCACTCGGTCTAGTTTAGTTGACAGCTTCACTGGTGCTTCGAGATTGATTCTCTAACAACGTGCTATTGAGTCGCAATTGATCTGTCAACTGGATTGCATCCTTCCTTCAAGCAACGGGTTAAATGCTGATCACGTCAGTATACCACCGATCAACATCACATTACATGAATAAAGAAGAACGTTTGGTAGTGATATACTCACCCTTGTCACACTGAACAACATTTGGATAGGTGGCAGCGAGTGCAATCACCAACAATGCGATCTGTGATGGGGAAAGAAGAGACAAATGAATACAGTGAGTTAGTTAGTTGTGAATGTCAAGCGAAGAATCAACTCACCAATATCTTCTCCATTTCTGACTTCAGTTCAATTCACTTCACTTGACTTCACTGGATTTTGATCTCTCGGTCAGTTGCACTCTCTTTTATAGGCTTCGACATGCATCGATCGACCTCTCTACTTGTCAGTTATTCAGTTCAGTTGGTTGGCTGTCACCAGTTAATAGACATTACTGCATTTGACAATATGATCTCCAACTGAGTGAGTGATCTGTGTCACACATTCTCACAATCCACTCACAGTCATTCCCTCGTGATCGACCTCTACAGCTGACTTGGTCTCATACTATTGACTTTCAATATGAATCACGTTTCCCCCGTAGTAGGTGTGCAAATCAATTAGATCGGCTGAGTGCGACGTGAGGAAGATAGTGGTCAGGTGTGCATCAAGATTTTGAATGTGTGTGCATGTGTGCTTGTGTGTTTACCATGGATCCAATTAACGACTGTGCGCCTTCTATTACCAGCGTGTGTATTTGTAGACACTGTGTTCTGAAGACGTTGGAGTATTAATTAAATTTGGGAGATTCATGGTAAACAAACAAGCACACATGCACACACATTCAAAATCTTGATGCACACCTGACCACTATCTTCCTCACGTCGCACTCAGCCGATCTAATTGATTTGCACACCTACTACGGGGGAAACGTGATTCATATTGAAAGTCAATAGTATGAGACCAAGTCAGCTGTAGAGGTCGATCACGAGGGAATGACTGTGAGTGGATTGTGAGAATGTGTGACACAGACCACTCACTCAGTTGGAGATCATATTGTCAAATGCAGTAATGTCTATTAACTGGTGACAGCCAACCAACTGAACTGAATAACTGACAAGTAGAGAGGTCGATCGATGCATGTCGAAGCCTATAAAAGAGAGTGCAACTGACCGAGAGATCAAAATCCAGTGAAGTCAAGTGAAGTGAATTGAACTGAAGTCAGAAATGGAGAAGATATTGGTGAGTTGATTCTTCGCTTGACATTCACAACTAACTAACTCACTTGTATTCATTTGTCTCTTCTTTCCCCATCACAGATCGCATTGTTGGTGATTGCACTCGCTGCCACCTATCCAAATGTTGTTCAGTGTGACAAGGGTGAGTATATCACTACCAAACGTTCTTCTTTATTCATGTAATGTGATGTTGATCGGTGGTATACTGACGTGATCAGCATTTAACCCGTTGCTTGAAGGAAGGATGCAATCCAGTTGACAGATCAATTGCGACTCAATAGCACGTTGTTAGAGAATCAATCTCGAAGCACCAGTGAAGCTGTCAACTAAACTAGACCGAGTGCATACATCGAAGCATACACCCGCCAGTCAGCCAATCACTCATTCTCCAGAAGGTAGCCTGCATACGCTGTCAAACATGTTAAGATAATGATGTCTGGGGACAACTGATACTGATGTCCAGCTCTCCTCTCAATCTGTCTCTGTCCCTTCCTGTGTCTTCATCATTTCCTCTCCATCGACTCACTCACTCCCAACTGCACAGTGTCATCTCATGCACTCAAAACTCGCTATTCCAGCCTGTATTCAGCTGTCTGATGACTTTCCTTTCTCAACAGAATCTGATAACTATTCATCAACTGGTTGGCTGATTAATCTCCTCATCTACACTCCTTTTGTTTCCATTCAGGTGACGCTGCCGCCGCCGCCGCACCCAGTGGTGGAGCAGACGCAGCTAAAGCTGGTGCTGCTGCTGCCGCTCCTGCCGCTGCTCCAGCAGCCCCCGCTGGTGAGTTCATCGTTAGTGCACAAATTTCATTATTCCAATTATGCTGTATGTAGACAACACTATCTTTGCGTGTATGGCTGCAATTTTCACTACAGAACGTCTGGTATTTCTAGTAATCCCGTCATCTTTCTATCAATTGATCGACTGGTAAATTTGTGATGGACGGTTTGTTTCGGAACCACTCCGCACTGATTATCACGCAGTTGAAAGGAATCTTGATGTCCTTTCCTCCGAGGCGTTTGTTTTTACATCACCTATGCATACAGCGTGTTCATCGATTTCCCTTTTGACAGATGAATGAGATTTCTCCGACTCTTTTGACATCTTTTCGAATGCAGGTACTGAGAATCATGCGTATATGAAGAAGGTGAGTTTCGAGATGATTTCACGCTGAGATGACGAGATTGCCAGTTCTTTGTAAACGAATCACATTGTTCAGCAAACAGAAACATGATTCCTGTTTGTTGTTGAGGGAGTCAGTGATCTACTTTTACGTGAACACTTGGTAAATCATATGAGAGCGAGTAGGAGGCGGACGTGTGTTTGAGTAGTGCGACACGTTTAAATCGAGATTGTTATTTATTGCTGGTTGAATCGAACTGTCGTTTACACATAGCAATGACCATGGGTTGTGATATTATCCTTTTGCATCCCATAGGTAAGAAGGACGCTTCTTCCAAGAAGGCTGCAGCCCCAGCCGCCCCGCCAAACCACCAAGTGCACCAGTGAAGAAGCCATCAGCTGGAAGTAAATCACCGTCGAAGCCATATCGTAAGTCGATTTACCGCTCGCCGTAATAATATTCATTATCACACATTTCACGTGCATAATTCTTGTTCTAATATTGATAAGGGATAATGTTTCTACAATACTAATGTCTGTTCCCACTTAAATACTCAATGATCTCAAACGCCTCACTCAATCCTACTCACAACTTCAGAGTCTTTGCTCCTCCTCCTCTTCCTCCGCTGCATGGAAATCAATCTCGATCTCCGCCTCCACCACGTGAGCTACTACTACTCCTTCACTTTTCTAATAGGCGACTCGACTAGTTGAATGCAAAATCCTACACGCTCACACATTAGATTTCCACACTCACAATCACACATACGGCCATGCGCTTGTCCCTCCCTACACAATATTCCACGCAGTTATTCCACTTGAATCATGTTGTTTCACTTCGTTATGTGTGTATCTAATTTAATGCTCCTCTATTTCTGTCTATCTCTCTCTCTGTTTGTCTCTCACTGTTTTCAGATCGTTACCGTAAGTCAACGTACTAATCACTCACAGTTCTTCTACTAATCAACATGTCACCTAATCCATCCTGTTTATTTTTACACAGACTGACTGCTATTCTAATCCACTGATTCATCTCGATCACATCACATGCTCATTCCAAGTGTGTTTCCATTTCACATCTCCTCTCCTTCTCGTCCCCACCTTCATAACTTTTGCACTGATATTATATGCACTTTACTTTATCCACAATTACATGAGTACACATTTGAATTGAGCACTTGTAGTCTTGTGCACTTCTGCTTGCTTACTCCTCACTCTTCCACACATTGTTGATCAAATTACCTGCACCAAATTACCACTACCAAACTCTCGGATATACGTATTCATTTCATTCGGATTCTCGTCGCTCACCAGAATGAATCCACCTCCCTTTCTCTCTCTATCTATGTGTAGGTGCACCGAATGCAGGAAAGCCTAGAAGAGACTGGAGATCTCGATATGGTGAGTCTACTTACGTACATTCAGATATACATATACGGATATGCACTCACTAGCTAATTGTCCCAATGAACCATTTAGCTACACATCCGCTTACTCTTTCACTCTCTCACGCATCGTCTCTCTTATTGACTTCAATCTTTTCACTGTAGTTTGTCATCTGTTATGCAGCAGCAGCGGAAGGAATCTGTGTCCACATATTCTTAGATTTACTGTCCTCCTGTCAACTGAATTTTAAGTGGATTCGAGTGTTTGAGTTTCATTTTGAATAGTTGTCTATTCGATCCTCTGCTGATGAACACCTGATATATATGGACGGCCTGCAAAATTCAGGATACCGATTTCACATGGTGAAGATTCCATACATGTACCATAAAATACGGTGTGGAATCAAGCTGTAATTAAAAATAAAAAAAATAATTATATGTGATACAGGCCATTCGGAATTGAGACGACTTAGGAATTATGGGCCCTCATGCACAGCTCAAGATATTCTTCTCTGTGTGCTCTCATATCCTCTGTACTCGGTTAAATTCAGCTCATCTCACTTGCCTTTCCAATCTCGTTAGCTGCTGATCAGGGAGTGAACTGTGTATTGAATGAAATAGGCATTGTAATCCGGTTCATTTGGCTGGTAGGTGTCTGATCATGCACCTGGTAGTGATTCTATCATCAATGGATGATTATGCCCTCGTGAATGAACAAATAGTTGTCTTAGTCAATCCACCAGTCATTTAGTCACATTCTGCACAATCGGTTCCACATTCGATATACCATCCACCTCACTGTCTACAATTAGCCTTCTGCATTAGCCTGCTTGTAATACTTTCATGTTTTCTGATTTCTGCTTTTCAGGTATGAAGTAACTCTGAGTGAAGGAAGATATTCTGAGGTTAATGCATGCATGCATGCATGCACTGATGACATGCAGTCAATTGTAAGCTATTCGTTGCTGACGATTATCTTACTGTTAACTGATTACTGAATAAACTCTTCACATCAAACAATTGTGTTGTGTTTTCTTTCTTCTTACCCTCTCTTGTGTTACTTTCATGGACACTTGTTGATTGGATTATGTGAGTTGTCGTATGCAGTGAATTTCACTGAGCATCCCAGTACTCTCTATTACTCGGTGAAAATACGTTTTTGATCACTTGGTGATTGTTTGCGTCGTCATCATGAAATGTTTACCGTCTTTACGTGTATGTGGGATCTGTGTTGTGTTTTGTCGTTACCCACACATCGATTTCAGGAATTATATATACTTTTCGTAAATTCTTCCTTCTCAAATCAACTACGACTATTGCCTAGCCACATACCATGATGTGCTCCATACTCCGCCAGTTCAAGTTAATCATTATCTGTATGGCAATCACCCTACTTGTTTTTTCTCTGTCGTGAGCCAGTCATTGGATACAACTGTCAACATTCGGATACTGTGTGGTGTCGAAGAGATTCACACTGGAGTTCGAAATTTTAGCATATCAATGATGGTATACGTATAGGAGTAGTGTCCTTTTAATATGTGTGTTTTGAGGATCTTCTGCTAGACAATGGTTGAGTCAGCC